GCGCAAAGCTACACGAGGGCTATCTGCGCTAGCCGTCCTTAATTTAGCAGGGAAGGCAGCTAGTCATCACCACCACCAGTCATCAACTCTTGGGCTCCTCTTTGACCCTCACGTATAATACCCTCACGGCTGAAAGGGCGCGCATGGTTAGTGGGACGGGGAGTCGAACCCGAACTTTTAGATTGCAAGTTAAGCGCCCTAACCACTTGTCTATACCGGGCCTAAAAGCTTTTGATACACAGAAAATAAGTGGTATAGTAGAATAAATAAAACCCGAAACTTGGTTTATTCTGAAAAACACGTGCTAATGTCCCAGTCGAAGATGTCGAGAGCACTGATACACACATATCTAGAATATACAGCATCTTTAATACACCTGAAATATTAGCTTCAAAACATTTAGATACACACACACCATGAATACACAGCATCTTTAATCAATACACCTGAAATGGAAGCTTCAAAACATTCAGCTACCCACATACACTTTGAATATACAGAATATTTAATACATGCCTGACTTACTCTGTATGTAGTTTTGCCCACTGCGGTTGAAACCAAATTTTTAGCGTTGTAAGCCCTCAGACTTATCTTTGAACCACCTGGACAGTAGCTTGCTTACACATACACCTCATATAATAAATAGGCTTAGAAAACAGGAAACTTTGTTTGAAAGAGAATTTTTTAAAACGTGTTTATCTCATAAAAGAAACAAAAAATATATATAAGAAAAATGAACGATGAAGTCAACACGTCAGTGTTAGTTTACTGGTTTGACATTATCGGTACTATGGTTTACAAACTTAGTAAGAATGTTTTTTAGAATGAATAAATATACAGATGCTGTATGGCAATAAGCTCACTAAACACCTTGTTCATTAAGGTTCTTCTTGTATCACTATTTCAAAAAGAAAAGTTTTTTTTTTCATTTCCAGCTAAAATAAGTTATTTCAGTTGAATCATTTTCAGGTAAAAATGTACGAACATCCAGTTTATGTACATCATTTTTTAAGGAAATGTTCTTACCTGTTAACCGGCTTTTTTAAACAAATACTCAGACTTAATCGGTTTTTTTTGTTCTTCAGACTAATTAGAAAAATAACATCAACGTCAAATAAAACTCCAACAATTAGATTATATTAATATTTCTTATCCTTGATATTATATCAATAGAAGCTTGTTTCAAGAGATACTGTAAAAAGTTAAAACACACGACTATAACAAGAATTTCTTTTATTAGCTACGTTTTGCGCATATGCCCTTCGTCAGGCTTTGGCCGTTAAAATTACAAAGCACACCAAAAAAATTTTGTTATAGACGTGTGTTTTAACTTTTTACAATATTTCTTGCAACATTTTTTCACGTCTCGCCGAATAGAAACTTATTTGTTTATTTGTTCTTAAGCATAAAGCTACACAATGGGCTATGTATGTTATGCCCACCGATATTTAGCGTCATAAGCCCCCAGACTTACCGCTGAGCCAACTGAGGGCAATGTAAGCTACCTTACCACCCTACTATGAGTAAACTCTTTCTCTGGTCTAATAAATTAACAACAAAAACATTTATTAACAAAACAGTTTTTATGTAAACGCAGAAAGTTAACGTCCAGGAACTTGACGTTGGATTTACTAATTTTTTGAACAACATCGAGTAACGAAAAGTTGTAGTAATATATATATATATGTATGTATAAGCAGGGAAACGTTCGTTGATCGAAATAGTTCTGTTTAAGCTGAATCTTTGCCTGTTTCAAATGAAGCTATTCAATGGTGTCCATTCATTTACCAAATTTTCGAACATTTTGGCCTTATCGGCCCTTATTTTATTTTCTTAAATAGTAATAAAGCTACTAAATATTATCAGTAAGTTAAGAGTGACCAGTTATTGTTTCTCTCTATTGATCAACCTGTTGAGGATGTTACGAGTTAGCAAATGATTACGTGTTTTCTGGTTGTTTTTTAATTATTATTTCTTACGATGCTTATTAATTGCCCAACTCAAATCATCCCTAAAATCCGGTGTACGATTCTCCGCGGTGGACAGAGCAGATAGCCCATTGTGTTGCTTTGTGCTAAAAGAATAACAGCGTTTATCATATGTGAACTAACTATAGATGGATACGTGGCCTTCTAAACATTATTATCGTTTAATCCATATTACGTAACATATCAAAATTGTGGTCGGGCTAATCAGGGTCTCACTGAAACGGTTTAGACCGAGGCAAAAGCGATGAAAATATAGCACCTGTTGGTTATCTCAGGGATATAAATACATGAGGGAATGAATGGGATTCTGTCTGGAACTAAGAAAAACCGATAAGACAAGTAGTGATGAATCGTCTAGTCAGCTTCGCCCTCTTCTTGGTTCTTCTTAACACGTAAGAATTGAACTCAATCAAACATATAACGGTTACTAAATGTTATCCATAGTAATGCTACTTTAGAACATGATACAGAATAACTTTTATTTCATTTATTTTTTAATCCTTACCTTATGTAGCAAGTTAAATATCTTCTTAATGCTATTATAAACCTTCAAGATTTTTTTTGTTAATAGTGCTTCAATTTTTTTTCCTTTAGCACTGTGGTTTCTCAAACTTGATTATATATACGAAAGGGAACTTCACTAGATGAGCTGTCTGAAAAACGTTTCGGTATCTCATCTTCTAGCTGCCTTCCTCGCGACCTAATGAAGGTAGAAACCACGTTTCACAACGTATTACCACTAGACTGCTTGCCTGGTGAAGTGCCCTTTAACAGCAGGTCACCAATGTTCAAACAATTTGTGTTTAATCTAAGTTGACATTAGTGACATATGTTGGCATGCTATGACTCGTGAATTATTAATGAAATGGTTTTTAATGATTTTTCTGACATGTTGTGGACTGAAATGTGTTAATTAGGGTACAAGGGGAGATGTGCCAGTGTGCGGGGTATTTCATAGAAGACGACAAGAAAACTCCAATGGATTTCATCGCTGCTATGGACTTCGACCTCAAAAACATAAAATGTGAGGCGGGCGGCGAACCTATGTGTCAAAGTTTCTGCTATGAATTCGTAAGTTATTTTTACAGAATTTAGTACTGGCATTCCTTAATATACGCAAATATTATCTACATCCTTTTGAAAGAGAAAATACGATTTAATTGTATTTTTTTATTAATCTATGAACGTGTTGTGATAAGAATATATGTATATATTTATAGTCATATTTCAAGTAAAACGTATATACAGAAATATATACATGCATATGTATAGAAAATGACATTATGAAGTTCTGATTCAGATTGTAATGTCATTAGTGTACATAATGTATCAACATTCGAATCATTGCGACCTCGTTTAATTAGACTCATTTAAAGGCTCATGAAAATAGTTTGTGTACTCGTTTCAGACATAAAATAAGTTGTCCGAGACTATATTAATGTGAAAAGCTATAGATAATCACGTTTATATTTTTTGGTTCTGAATTAAAACAGGTAAAGAAATGAAAAAAAATATCCATAATAATGATGTTGAGATTCTTCGGATCTCTTAATACACTGTCTGCTTAACACATACAAATTTGTATTGTGAATTCAAATTCTATAACACGGTTAAGTGTTTTCATTATATTTGTTGCTGATAAACAGTTTAGGTTTTTTGTATTCATAATAATATATACTTGATTTAAAAAATAATAATTCACTTGCAATGAAACTGTTCGTTCCCCAGATGTCTCAAATTACAAATGGAGGAGACTTGTTTCACATTAGGCCCGGAGCTGAAAAGTGTTATGGAGATCAGATTTGCGAGCTCATCGACCGTGATCTACTTAAGGGATTATGGGTAGGAGCGTTCTCAAGAGCTTGCGGAGGAGAATACATATTTACTGGACTTGTGAGTGACGACACGTTGTGTTGTAAGAACAGAAAGCATGTCCACTGTCCATAGTTGCGATATTAAAAAAACGTTTGTTCGAAAACAGTTTCTGTGTAACCCGTTGTTTATGCTTCTTAAACGTATCCACATTATAGCTGAAAACTAATGTTTTGGTATAAAATGTACTTATTTTAATACATCCTTTATTAATTAATCGATTTTAAAACTCCGTTCTTTAAGGGTAACCGTACCTCCTTGGATACATCACCCATTACGTCATGTAAAATAGTCGTAAAGTAAAATATAAATATTGTTCACTTTTGCACTGTTTTTAATCTTTAAAATATACACACAGAGATGGAAAAAAAACAGTAAAAACTTTTGAAAAATTTTCCTTACATTTTAACAACTTTTCAACTATCATCTAAAGAGCATACAATAGTTTGTCATACCTTGTCACAATATGCTCAGGACTGATATTACTCATTAAACATGTTAACAAGTGAGTTTCAAACAAATTATCCAGCGTTACGTTTCCATAAACTAAGAGTTGAAGAAAACCCGAATGTTAAATTTAGAAAGAAAAGTTGAATGTATTCAAACTCTATTTTTGGAATGCAAAAAATGAAAGTGTGCACATATCTTAAAGTAAACTGCAAGCCATTTTCTACACCTAAAATCACATAAATCTCTGTATGGTTTTCTATATCTGTGACATATATTACCAGTACTGTAAAAAGGAGATGAAAATGGGAGTACTTGGCTAGACATAGATTTTACAATGATAGATTGAAAATATAAGGAGTTGCTAAAAACAGCTCCCTTGCTGCCAAGGGAAAGATCTAGAGGGGCTTGGGGGCACGCTCCCCAAAATTGATATAATAATATAATTTGCAGTTGCTTAATAAGTCAAATATGTAAAAGTGGGGCTACAGCAACCCCAGTTCCGACGCCTTTGATTACAAATTACAGATCATGTCGTACATGCCCTCCCTCATCACACTGAGGATTATTTTAAAGATATCATTAAGTAAGCATTACAAAAAAATTGTACTCGCCTAGCTTCACATAGTAGCCTTTAGCTCTGAATAATGCCATATTAATAATAAATCAACTGCACCATTTAACTTCAGTCGAAATGTCCTTTAGCCCGTGACAGGACTTTAAATCGTTCTCTACTTATAGGCTTCTTATATTCGTGCCCTAATTTTGAAGTGAGAGATTAAAGGCAGGGCAGTTAGTTAACGCTATCTACCGTCAACTCTTGGGCTACTATCGTCTGATCGAATAGCGAAATCTGACTGTCACTCTTATAAAGTATGCATGATGGCCCCAAATGCGGAGTTATCCATCGGGCCGCGCTCGACCCCCCCCCCCTCTAATAATGAAGCCAATTTATTCTAAAGAACATTTAGGACATTTATACTTATATACAACATTTGAGGTTTTGAAAGTAGATATTCGACCTTCAGGCCCGGCATGGCCAGGTGGTTAGGGAGCTCGACTCGCAATCTGAGAGTCGCGGGTTTGAATTCCCGTCCCACCAAACATGCTTGCCATTTCAGCCGTGTGGGCTTTATAAAGTGACGGTTAATCCCACTATTCGTTGGTAAAAGAGTAGCCCAAGAGTTGGCTGTGGGTGGTGATGACTAGCTGTCTTCCCTCTAGTCTTACACTGCTAAATTAGAGATGGCTAGCGCAGATAGCCCTCATGTAGCTTTGCGCGAAATTACTACAGTTTGTGATAGTCTTAAAATCGGCTGGTCACCGAAACACCTTCACTGTTATCAACGAATGTTAATGTTATGTAGAATGATTTGGATTTCAAATTCAACTACTATCATTCGCCAACAAGTCTCATGTGTTATTATTGTTACTATGCCACTGAAGTTGTTGTTCTAGTCATTTTACGACACCTTCGAGATAATTGAAATAATTCTACCTTCCCGTCCTTTCCCAACCTATTTAGCCATTTCTTCCTTACAAGATTTAATTTCATAATTCACAGTTTATATACCTATTGATCTACAAAGCCATCCTTATTTTACAATTCTTGTAATCGACTCATTTTTTGGTAACGTAGCTTAATGATAAAACAAAACACGAACGCAATAATAGGAAGCATTTATTAGACGTTTCGGAATCGTTATAATTTCATCATAAGGTTCGAGAAACCTCAATAATAATAATAATAATAAGAGTTAGAACAGGAAGTAACAACAATGGTAAATATGGCAATTACAGTAATTAGCAAAGGCTAGTGTAACTTAGCTAATGACGTAGTGTTATACTAATATGGAACTTTTATATAAGGGGTGTTGCAAAATAAATCATACTTTTTCCCCGAGACCATAACAAAACAAAATAAGACTTTAATTCAATTAAAAAAAAGTAATTCCAAGTATAAATATCGCTTGATTGGGCCACCATTGTTCTCACGCACGAGTTATAATCGATTTGCAAAAGATTTCAGCAATGCAACAAACATACCTGTTTTTGTGGCTGTTTCTGTGAGCACATCAGTGAGAACACGAATTAAGGTATTACGTTTGTGTCTCTCGCATTCAGGCAAAGTTTCCAACATTTCTTCTCTGCATTGTTGAACGAAAGCTCCGACAGTTTCGGCGGGATTTAAATCTGAAGAGTTCCCAATCCACATTCCACCACCTTTTCACGGACCACTCTTTCAAATTCAACAGTTCTGAAACTTTTGAGGCATTAATCGGATTTTTTCAAATCTGGCATTGCGATGTGTCGATTCGAAGACTTGAATTCTCGGAGCATGTCTGCGACTACTTTCTGAGCCATCCCGAAGGCAGCACATGTGACACGAACCTGAGTTCTAGTAAGCATCATGATTCAAAAGTTTTTGCAAAATATAAAATTCGAGGAGTCCAACACCCAAGAGTACGTTGAAATGACGTTTTCTCACGAGTGATGATATTCGCGGTCCTACCAAGTTCGTCATTACTTGGGGGTAAAAGTGTAATTTATTGTGCAACACCCCTTAGCTTGTATATATATATATATAGCAAGAGTTTAAGTTAATGGACAGTAAAATTGATGGTGGCCAATATACTACAGTGATTCATTATTACCTTAATTTAATAATAAATAAAGTTAAACCTAAGGAACTAGTCGAAATTCATAATAGATAATCAGATACGAGAGAAACTCAGAGTAATAATAAAATTTAAAACTATGCAGTAACAATAATGATAAATACAACAGTGAGTGTGTGTCTTCTTATAGCAAAGCCTCATCGGGCTATCTGCTGTATCCACCGAGAGGAATTGAACCCCTGATTTTAGCATTGTAAATCCGAAAACTTTAACGCTGTCCCATCGGGGGACAATAATATAAAAGTAAAGTTATTAAGTTATACTAATATAGCTAAACTAATTATGTAATGCTATACTACAGAGGTTAACTAAATTATATAAAAACCATTTTGGAGCCTCACCACATATTTACAGTCCATGTTACCGAGTCCGACCATGCTCTTTCTAACGAGCGTGCATCATAAAAATAGGCATGCAGCGTAATGTATATTGCAATAGGCTCCGTCGTAGGACTGTCACATTCATAACACACAACTCCCTTTTGTGTGCTTTCCATAAAACATCTAGTGCACGAGGACAATAGCTTCCCAAAGCCTGTATGAAAAGTCAGATTGCATAGAAACCAGAGGTGCTGTGTCTGGCGACTTAACCAGAATGTCATCGCATGGGATAGCTTGTGGTATGGATATGAACTAATATATCACGGAAACAATTTGTGTAGAAGTGACTTATTTTGCTTTGCCAGACAGAGATTATTTTTGACTGTGTTACGTATTGTTACCTGGGATCCATGAACGCCTTTTGCCACCGGCCTTTGTGTTCGTCGTTTCTCATATGCTACACATTACTTGCTACGCCTGTAGTACTACTTTTTTTGTTTTTTTCTCGATGTTTCTATGCCCCAAATTGATCCATAGTCTTTTGTTTTCCAGTACTATCAAAGTTTGATTTGTTTGAAGTTAAGCACAAAGCTACACAATGGGCTATCTTTGCTCTGCCTACCACGGTATTGAAACCTGGTTTCTAGCGTTGTAAGTCCACAGACATACCGCTGTGCTTCTGGGAAGCTTCATGGTCTGAGTGTATGAATATTACATAGATTGGAAGAGCATCATACACTTAACATTGTCAGATAAAAAAAAAGAGACAAAAACAACGTCTAAAATTTTATTATGCAATTTAACTTGTTGTTTTGTTATCTTGCAATAAGATTGTCATTATTATGATAATGTTGTTAATATTAATTGTTCTTTGTCCTTAAAACAAAACCACTACTTTCTCTCTGCATGCAAGTTATAGAAAGTTGATATAATTTCAATGATAGTGTCTAACTTATTTCATTTTAATTAAACATTTTATATAAAAATTCAATATTTTTTTTATTTATATTTTTCAAAGTATATCAAATAAATTACTTTTTTTTTAACTCAGTTAAAATGTTACGTATTGAATTGTTTGTTTCCGTGGAAAATCCCAGATGTAGGTTTCTTATTCAATTGTTACAGAATATAAAAAATACCACAAAAATGGTATTAATGTCTAAAATATTATCTGAACTTACTGAAACGTTCACTTTTATTACAGTTTTCATACGCCATTGTGATCATGTTAAACATTAATTGTTGAGCTCGTTAGACATTACTATTGTCTAACATTCTTCGTCATAATAAAGTAGTATTGGCCTCGAACGCAGCTGTCTGTTTCCTTAAGCTAATCACGTGATGGCAGCTGGTTTAAGTGTGTCGTTTGATATCTCACATAGTTTAATGTTCAAAGATAAGATATCATCTCAATATGACTTTATTCCACAGCAGTCTTCCACGTGGTCAGAAACTGTCTAGACTATTTATCTTGTTTGGTGGTAAGATTTAAGAAACTGTTATAATTAATTGATTATATGCAGTTGATCGCTAAGAAAGAAGAAATATAAGCTTGTTTTATTCACGAAAACATTATGTCAATCTACTCACGTGGCAGTATATTTTAACTACCTTAATTATGTTTTTAATTTAGTTATATGAGTTCTATTGTGTTGCTAGACGTC